AGTTCCTGTGAAAACATCTTCCTGAAGAAACTTTCTCCAAAACACAGGACTAAATTCTTCACTAAGAAACATTATAAAAAATTCTGGACTAAACTGTGGTTCGTTTACACAATATTTTGAACTAAATATTTCTGGACCTGTAACTGCTTCAAGGTATGTGCGCATCTCTTCTTTGGATAAGTCGGGAAACGCTTGTAAAAAGTATAGTTGAATTTACTTTTGTGTGTTTGAAAAGACATGGAGAATATTCGAATCATTATCCTTTTCATTTTTGTTTGTTTTCAGCAACAACAAACCTGTAATTGTAACATATAATTTTATAAGTTGAGAACGCCTGCTCAGACAATAGTATTTAAATGTTTTACTTATGTTACTAAAAATAAATCCTAATCCTAATCTGCCATCTAGTTTATTCCTATTTCGGAGAATTTGACCTTTATCAATAATCCTGGACAAGGTCAAATCGAAAAACAAAGCCAGACTTAGACTTTTTGTAGTATATTAAATAAATAGTGTTTTATGTGTGTAATCAAATATTGTCTTTTGCAGAAATCAAACCACTATTTTCCAAATTGACTTTTTCAATGAGTGTCAACCTTTATTACTTTTTTCAGTGATTGTGTAAAACAGTTTAAAGTATAATGTATGTCTAAATCAACAAGAGATGGAAAATAATGACTAATAATATTTTCAGGGTTATATTGTATTGTATACAAGCTGAATTTTTAGATGGACTTTTGTCTTTCGTGAATCCAGTCCGGCTAATAATATTGAACGAAAGGTCTGCTAGTGTATGAGCCAGGTAGGTGAGTCATGACCAAATAAGGGGCAAGTTATGAGCGGTATCAAATGGTAGCGTTGTCAGTCTAGTAGCTTACACCATGAATATTATCATATATGTAAAAATAAACTAACCTGGAAAATTTTCATTCTTCTAGCAGTCATAACACAATAATGCTTAAAATTGTTGCATGGAAACATAAAGAGAAACACTGTAGTATCATTCTAAGACTGGGAAATTTCTATGCCATCTGTACTTTCCTTCAAACACTTGGAAAGTGCTTCTAAGATTCAGATATACAAGACCAATGAAAATGAATGAGGCATCATTACAGATGACCCTCACTTTTTCAGTGATGGGAGGTCGCTGTTGCAATTGAGCAGTCAGAGTACACAAATATGTGTTTGAAGCCTTGCTCAGGCTTTCATGAAAATTTTTTATTCCTTAAATTGATGATTTTCATCTCGAAAAAAGAAATATAATCGAGCAAATAGGTGAGATTTCTAAGAGTGTAGTAAAGACAGTTTTCATGATACAATGCATTAAACATATAATCACAGCACAGATTACCACTTGAAAAAACAATGGGCACATATCTGCAAACTGATGTCAGATGTTGGCATTGTTGGTGATAATCTCCCTGGGCACTTGCAGGAGACAGAGGACTCCATATCTTTGTCATAAATCATAAAGATATCATGGTGTTTTGCATACGACAAGGCTAACTACACTTAACTACAGGTTAAAATGGTCGAAAAATACCTTGAGATATATGTATATTTCATAAATGAAGGTTTTGCAGCACAACTCGGTGAATATAATCCGTTTGGCCGTATTTTTATAGACCAAATTATTGAAAAACCTGTGACTAAAGACACAGAGATGCCAGGTGGTACAATAAAATACAGTCTAAAATCCGGAGCTATGACTCGCTTTTACTTGATCCCAGAATTCTGGAATGATTGTAGTCAGGTGTTCACAGAAGAGACAAGCTCTAGCAGTAATAACATGCATTATGCAGACTTACAAGAATCAAGGATATTTAAAGATGTAAGGATATCACAGCTGAAGTTGAAACACTGAAAAACTGGTCAAATTCCTTTGAAGGTGAAAAAGAATTAAAGAGTTGCAACTGCTCTGATGGCGATGGCACCAACAGAAACAGATGACCTATTGAAGGAGAAAAAAGTGCTGAAGATACATGCAACAAATTATGTAATAAGTGCTTAGAAGCTAACCTCAGCAAGAAATTCTATGATGTGCTTTCATAACAAAAACTATATATCTCCACGGAGATGGTGAATAAGACAAAGAAAATTAAGACCAAAGGAAGAGAAATCATATCAAAAAGCAGACAGAAAACTGTTTGGTAAATGATTTTGATAGCTGAATCAAAAGTGTTTGATATGAAGGAGGTTTGTTTCTCATCCATTGCGTCCACTGCCTAACTGCTGATGGAATACCAATGAAAACCAATAAGTCTGCACTTGCAAAGCAAGTCAAAGGGGGACTTTCTTCAACAAACTTTGATTCATGGCAGTTCTGCAGAAAATGAAGGGTGAGAACAAAAAAATTGGAACACTTACATGAGACATCTTACATTCAGTGCTTAGAGAAAGTGCTCAGAGTACCAAGGTAAATGTTTTCTTCGATGTTTAGAAACACATCAGCATCAAGAATACAGAGAAGGCTCAACGATATCCGGACCATGGCTTGCATTTCAGAAACATTTCCAGCGCACCCTTGATAAGGCAAAGGAGATAGTTTCTTTTTTCATTGGACAACAAGATGACACTTATTCAGTTTTTTAGTGGAAGAGTGGAGCCAACCTAGTCTTTTCAGTAGACTACATGAGAAGGAGATGTTATTCACGTTTGAAGATGAGTGTTACCGGCTCACTAAAAAAAATAAAGAAGTGATAACATCACTTTAGTCTACACAAGGGCTCTCTACGCTTCTCATGGTGTTCTGTCAATATATATTGCAGCAGATAATACTGTGTACTCATATTTTATTCATCATGCTCGTCATTGATCAATTTTCTATTATTCCAAAGATTTAATAAAGAGGCATGAGTAACATATATGAATACCAGTAAAATTGATACATCTTTAGGAGAAGGAGTATGTGAGGGAATTATTGGCCTCCACGCACTCGCTGATTGTGATTCTGTGATTTCATTTGCTTGAAAAGGGAATGCTTAAGCACTAAAACTTTGGAAGAGTAAAGAGGTGGCACAGGGAACGTTGAAACAGCTTAGCTGTGAACGCCACTGAATGTAAAGTATGCAGGTTTCTGCTTGATAGACTAGAAAAAGTAACATGTTGTTTCTATGCTTCGGAGAGCGATTAAACAAATGTGAATAAATTAACATATGTCTTATTCTGTAGCGAGAAAGGTGATATTGAATCACACCAATTTCCTTCATGCAGGGATATCTTAAAGAAGCATATGCAAAGGGCCAGTTATCAAGCTACTATATGGGAAAAATACTTTGGGGGCTCATCAAATGTATCATATTTTGACGGATATGGCTGGAAAATGGAAACTACAGAGATCAGGGATCAGCTTTTAATTGACTGGATGGATGGTAAGGTTATACAAGAGTCAGTATTATAACTGTTGTCTGCAAATGTCCTGGAGTATGCACTGAAAAATCCTGCCCGTCCTTTATTGGAGGTTAGTTTGCAAAGCACAAAGATGTGTACACTGAAAATATGCTAAAATCAAGTTATGGAGAATGACGATAAACAGGGTGACATTGAAAGTGATGATAATGATAATATTAGAGATTATTATGAAGGTAATTTATAGATGGAAATGAAGTCTGCAAAACCTTCCTCACAATTACATTACCATACAACTGTCACTATGCACTATTTGCTTGTTAAATAAGTGTGAAATTCATCATTACTAATATATATTTAATTAACATTGGGATGGACGACAATGCTTTGTTTCATTAACGTGTCAATCAAGTTAATGCTACAGAATTCATTGTACAAGTGCATTCATTACTTTATGGTTGAATGTGCCTCGTTTATGATACTACTTACAAACCAAATGGATAGCTAATTATCTTGCTGAATGTTTTGAACTGTACGTATTAAAAGTATGTTTTCTAGATTAAACAAATATATGTATTCTATGTCGCGGATATATGTCCAAACATATTATTCATTGGCTTCAAATCTCGTTATTTTGTTTCTTAGGTTGTAACAAATGTTTAATTTTAATATTTCATATTGTCAACACGAAAGATAGTTTTGTTTTCATAATCACCAGATGGCCAAGATGAAGATATGTTAAGTAAGCTATTACTCATGCAAAATATGTGTACAAATGAAGTTTGTAAGTAGTAGGCTGAATTTCGTGTGTCACCGTAACATAGGATTTATTCACAGCTTTTAGTAAGAACTGTAATGAGGCAGTTGACGATGTAGAGCATTCACTGAAAAGCTTGTTTGAATTTCTTAATGACGGGACTAATTAAAGCATTATTTAGAAAGATAATCCATCATAGTTATGGCTTGAATTAAATATGTTTAGGTGAGAGGGTTCAAATTTCAAATGTTTTGTTTCCATTCTATATTCAGAAGAGCCGTAAAGAAACCCAAACACTTCTCAGTTGCAAAAACAAAAAAACAGAAAAAAATGCAACAGTTTGGGAGTGGTGGTGCTCGTTTTAGATAGGAAGTTCGACCTACCCTACACCTCCGGTTATTCGGTCCCAGATTCATAGTTACTTGGAGTTTTAATAATTTTGCTTTCTAACCCACAAAGTATATACGGAATCACAAAACACAAAATGCTAAAAAAATACACCCCAAGTAGCTTAATAATAAGTCTGAAGGCTTTCTACGCTAAAAATTGATTTTCGATACCCGTGATGGGCACAGCATAGATATCCCGTTGTGTAGCTTTGCGCTTAACAACAAACAAGCAGAACTCTCTTTCCCTCTTTAGATAGAGAGACAGGTATAGAGAAATTAGGCAACTGTGTAATAATTTTATAACAGCTCTAGGCCTTATAGATAGTCAGTATATAGTCATAGATGGGTCCTTTTTGGATAGCTCGATAGTGATTCTAAACACTGGTGGTGATTTCATATGAAGCTACCAAGTATGCTTTGCCAGTGGTTCTCAAAGTGTGGTCCGTGGCTCACTGATGGTTCAAGAGGGTCCTCCAGGTGGTTTGCGAACTGGCCCACAATGCAACTCACAGACGCGCAACGCCACGACCGAGGCCACATGAGAGAACAGGACAGGTGGGATAGAACTGGGATAGGAGGACTGGGGACCTTTTGCCCAGACAAAGTGGTGCGAGGACGAAAAAGTTTGACAACTATGGTGCTATACTATCACATATTTTGATTTCCCAAGATATGTACCTTTTATAAGAATATTGTTAACATTTGACACGTTGAGGGGTAATGATCAATCAAGCAAATGAAAAATGGTCCCGAAATGTTATTTTTACATATCTCTTGATAAACTAATTAAAACTTAAAAGAAAAGTGAAGAAAAACAATCACTTTATAGAGCTAAACCAAATTTTTAATTATTTGTGTGACTACTGGACATAAGAATAAAATATATCTTGCGGAGAGGGCTGCTCTGCAATTTTTGGCAACCAACTGTATGCTCAATTCCTAATCACCTAGTGTGAAATCCTGATATTATAATTCATAACAGTATTGTGTTGGCCGGGTTTTAAATTTTTTATCAGACTGAAATATTTAACTTTAAGTGTTATGTTACGTTATGATAAACGTATATTAAATAATATACGTATACAAAATTGTGATTCAATTAGGAGACGCGAGAGAAAATATTAATTATTACTTGTTTTGTACTGTAGCGTACATTGTAGACGTAGCGTTAATGTGCCTGTGAATAAAAATCATTTCAAAGTCCATTTTTCAGTTTTACTTTCAGGTCATTGAGGCAAAAATAATTAACTTTTATTTATAAGAAAATTAAATTTAATTCATTGACACTTTCTGGATGACTGTTTGGAGTACTTCAAGCTGCTTAATACCGTGATAAATTAATAACGAAATAATTATTTAGACTGTTAATGGAGCCTTTCTTACGTAGCTGTAAGTCGTATGTGGTACTGGTAAGTAAACTTATATTTTTTTACTTTTACTATTTTTACTTTTAGTTTCTCGTACATTCAATGTTACGCTTTACTAAGTACTAAAGGCGGGTCAATTAATCAATTAGGTCACAGAGTACACTACCTGTAATGATATGTTATCCTTAATTACATATCAATAAACTTAAGCTATATGAATAGTAATATTACAAGGTATTGTAAAGTCACTACAGCTAGGCAATTAATGATATTTACTAATCAATCAATCGACGGCTCTATTAATTAATTTCAGTTGATTGATTAATTAGTACAGTGCTCAAACAATGGTAGGCACAAGTAAAACAAGTTGGCTGTGGGTGTTGTCAGCCAGTTGCCTTCTCTAAGTCACTGGTTCAAAGTTAATGACACTGACAGATAGCTTTATCAGCGTTGTATTAACAAAGACAGGCTGAGCAGGTTTGGTGGCATTGGAAGTCAAACCTGAGACTGCTGAATCACCAGAGCTGAACAATATTGAAAGTTGAAGTAAGAAACTTTTAAAAGTCTAAAATTGGGCATAGCACAGGTAGCCCACAGATAGCTTTGTGCTTAACAATAAACATAATAGCAATATTTTGATTACTTTGATAGTTCACTAGTTTTAATAATCTGAAACCCCAATTTTGATTATTTTTATGACAATTTATGTAATCAGAAATTTGAGTAATCAATTGTTGGAATAATCAAAAACCAAGATAGTTAGAAACACTAATTTTGACTAATCAGTTTAATCATGATTTTGAGTAATCAAATAGTTTATATGACACTATTCAGTGTAATCATTGCTCATAGGTAATTGAATACATTGTAGGGTAAATAGGATTTTAGGTTGTATAAATATATATGTTTAATATAAGTCTAAATAGGTCATATTTTCATTATATAGGTCATGTTTAGGACACATTCGGAGTATTATGTTCAGTCTTGGGCTTCTTACTTTAGGAATGCTGTTGAATGGTTACAAAGATTTCAGTGGAAGGTTGCTAGGGTGGAAAGGTTATCATATGAGGATAGGTTAAGACCACTGAAATTGTTTTCTCTTGGAAAAAAAAGAGTTAGAGAAAATTAAGATGTTTAAGAATATTAAAGGAATTGATACTGTCAGTGCATCATCTTTTTTTTTCATACTTAATGTTGAGAATGGTAGGGCTAGAGGAAAATATTTATAAATTTTGGCAGGGTAGGAGTCAGCTTCAGTTAAGACAGCTTTATTTTCCTCTCAGGGTGGTTGGCTTTTGAAATGAGTTGCCTTCTGATATGGTACATACAGTAAATTTAAGAGAGGGTTAAGAGACTGTTCAACCAGAACACCAATATTCTTTGGTTCTGTAACACTGTTTAGGTTATTTCCATCAAAATTATATTTCAAATTTAAATTATGTAATCCACATGATTTGCCTTGCAGTTATTTTCATTAAAAAGCATCTGCTGTTTACGTGCCCAACTCATGAAGTAAACTAAGTTCCTTTGTACTTAAAGCAACAGAATCCTCACAGCCAGTGACAATTGAGACCTTAATATCACGTTTGACCAAACTCCATTTATAACAACTCTCAGCTTTCTTCTCTCCACAGCTATAGAGATAATTTTTTAACAAGCCTTTTTATATGGCTGGCATCTTGTAAAATGTTTTTTGAAAATTCAGTTACACCAAATCCTCACGCTTACCCTAATATACATAAGCAGTATCCTCTTCAAAGAATGTCAAAGATTAGTAAGGCAAAATTTTTCCCAAGTGAAACCATGTTGATTATTCATTAAAATTTTACATTTTGTTAAATTATTTTATAAATCTTCTTTTATTAGACTTTCAAAAATCTTTTCCTCTGCTGATGGAAGAGTAATAGGTCTATAATTATCTGGGCAATTTTTATCATCTTCCTTGAAAAGAGGAGTAACATTAGCAAATATAGTTTTCTGGCACCCAATATTCAAGAATTTGCAAAAAATGTTAACAAGCTGCTCATACATCTAATCCTTCACTTCTTTTGAAATTTTGGGGGAAATATTATCTGGTCCAGGAGCCTTATCATTCTTTGAACTTTCCAGTTTTTCTGAACGAGCTCAGAATTGATGTGATCATCTTAAGATTTTTTTACATCTAGCATATGTTCAGGATGAGGAATATTACTTATATTTTCATTAGCAGAAATTGAAGAAAAAGTAGAGTTTAGCAACATAGCCATCTCTTAATTACTAGACATGAGTCCGTCTTTGCTTCCCATAAAATATTTTAAGAAATCCTAACTGTTAATTTTAAATTTCCAACCAACCATTTTTCATATACCCTTTTTGATTTTCTAATATCATTTCATCAATTCTCGTGATCTTCTAGAATCCTGTGAGTTCCTGTCATAGCAGTCAATTTAAACATCTTAAATTTATAATGCTTTTCTTTAATTTTATCTTTCATATTTTTTGTGAGCCTACCTGATTTCTTGCAACCACCTTTTTTTCTGTAAGGAACATATCTATCTTGAATATTTAAAAATTTATTTTTAAAAGTTAGATCAGTATCTCCAAGTAATGCAGATGACAAATTCACAATGGATAATCCTTGTCATATCTCTTGAAACTTTGCTTTCTTGCAATTTGTAACCAAAATATTATAATTCCTGAGCAATGGTAGCTTACACCTATATGTTCTCCAGTTTCAAACCTATAAATCATTTCTATATCAGAAGTTAACAGTAAGTCAAAAATTGCATTGTTCGTAGTAGGTTCCCTGGGGAGACGATTACATCATTTTCTCAACAGCTGGATTTCCTTCACCACGGATCCATGAGTACACCATGTTCTGGAGTCAGGGATAGACATTCAATTTACATCTCCACCTCCATTATCCTCCCACCCTGTAGTTTTTTCACCTTCAACAGATCTGCAGCAAGTGGAACTTCATTGTGAAGCCATCAGAGAGTTGTTAGATAAAAGTGCAGTAGAAAGGGTTGATCCCATTCTTCCGGGATTTTATTCCCATCTTTTTGTGGTTCCCAAGAATACCAAAGATTGGCATCCAATTATTGATCTGTCTTGACTCAATCAATTTTTGAATCCTCCTCATTTTACGGTGGAATTTTTCTCAACTTATGATGACATTTTTCACCCAGTATTTGGATGACTAAGTTTTATGTTACTGACACATATCTTCACATTTCCATAGCAAAGTCATCCTGCCAATTTCTACGATTCATGCACAAAGGTCAAGTGTTGCAGTTCAAAGCTCTGCCTTTTGGCCTTGCATCAGCACTTTATGTCTTCTGCAGAGTGGTACGAGCCTTTTCTAACCACATGCATTACTTGGGCCTGTGCACACATCATTATATGGATGACTGGCTACTTTTGGCAGAACAACATACCCAGATTCTTCTTATCAAATTAGAGAAATCCATTCTAACAACAACTCAATACCTCACCCATCTTGATGTCTTCTTCAATACGTATTTAAGTTGGGCTCAGCTGACTCCCATCAGATTACAAGCTATGGAAAGAACAGTCTGGCCTTTACTTACATCTCTTTCTCCTCCTACATGAATGGTTCTCTCTCTTTTTGAGATGTGGGCATCCATTGAATCTGTCATTCCCTTGGGATGAGCCCATATAAAGTCCTTTCAGTGGTCGCTGCGCAGTACATGTATCATGAACTTTGATCCACTGGATCATCCAGTCTCCTTACTCAGGAGCAACATTGCAGATCTTGAGTGGTGGTTGGGTCGGAACAATATTACTATTGAGGTACCGATTCCTCCTCTTCATCCTGAGATCCATCTGGTTATGGATGCATCTCATCAAGGATGTGGTGTTTATATCCATGGTCCGAGGTTCCAGGGTACTTGGACAGCCTATAAGTCTTCTCTTCACACCAACATTCTCAAACTACTTGCTGTACACCAAACAATGGTTCAGGATCTGTCTCTCTTGAAGGGAAATGTCGTTATGATAAATTCTGACAATTTCACAGTGGTATCCTACATTTTTTGTCAAGGGGCACACATTCTCAATATCTTTCTTTTCGAACTTTGGATCTTCTCTACTGGGCTCACTCCCAACATATAAGCCTCTTGGCATGCCATGTTCCCAGAGTGATGAATTTAATTGAGGATCATTTGTCTTGGCCCAACCTGAATTCTCCAGACTGATTGATTGCTACATCATAAGGTTTTTTAGTGGATTTGCTTTTGGTTTGGATCTCCAATGTTCGATGCTTTTGCGACTCATTGAAATTCTCAACTGCAGTTGTTTTGGTTCCCAGATTTAGCAATACATGCATTCATTCAGGGTTTGCATCCGTATGCCTTTCCCTCGATTCGTCTGTTGCCCAGAGTTTTAGCTATGGTTCTTTCCACTCCTTGTCAGGTTCTTTTGGTAGCACCGTTTTTGGCCACCTCAAACATGGTTTCTTCTTCTTCAGTATCTGCAGGTGTGTCCATCTTTACCACTTCCACCATGGCCATCTCTGTTGCAATAACCTCGATCCGATGTTTTACACCCGGGTGTTTAGAAAGTCAGAATTCATGCCTGGAAGTAATGTGGGCCTTTGCCAGACATAGGAGCTAAAGTTATGTTGTACTAAAATTAAATCTCTCCTTTGACCAACTATGGCCTGTTACATATTATAATTTATACCGGACGAGTCTTCAATTTATTACGTAACATATTTTCAAATAGCCTGAAAATGAGTTAAATGATAATTTAGATTTAAAAATTAAATAAATGTTGATATATATATCCAATTTATGATACTTGCCGATAAGATTGATATGTACAGTTTTTTTAATACAAATATATTTTGATATACAAATAATAACAGTTATTACAAATAATGATCTTTGTACAAAACTTATACACAATATTTAGTCTTCTATATGGTCTGGAACTTCCTTGGCATATTATCGACTGTTCACGATGAGCGAATTAATTTTGAGTAGATGTAGATACAATTCACTTAACTCTTTCAGCGCGGGTTCAGTCCCTGGGATGGACCTCATAACCATTTTGTGCTTGTTATAGTTTTAATAACTTTTAAAATAGTAAGCGTATGTTAACAAAATTTGGTATATTATCAGTAAACACTATAATGCTTTATATGCAAAATATCAAATTTTTTTTATTAAGTCTTAAGGTTTGTAAAGCAATGTTTTTCTCATGCTTTTTTATCTTTTCACATGTTGCCTATCCAACATGCCAAGTAATTTTCATTTTAAGATTAAAAATAATTTGTGCATCAGAAAATTTTCAGATTTCACATGCAAAATCTTTATAATGTCAAGATAGTTATCAAATGTTTCTCAAGAAAAAACTTTATATTTTATCTGTTATTAACGAATCTCTGTTTTAGTTTTTGATAAATAACACTTGTAAGCAATAAACATAAGTCAGTTGTTATTTAATATTGTTTATTTTGCTGAAGGTCCCATCTGTGATCTTGCACAGCACAGTATATAATGTAAAATTTCTTAGTAGCACATTTTTCTTTGTACATACGTACCAAATAACTGATCTTTCTTATTTTGGTTTCTGTAGGGATGTTTGAATCACTTCGAAGAAGTTCATGTTGTACTAGGTAATGAGTCTTGTGACCTTGACTCAGCAGTAGCCTCAGTTGTCACAGCATTTCTTCTTCATCAGGTAAGTGTACAAATCTTAATAAGTTTTCCTTCATTTGTTTTTCAGAATTATAAATGTATAAACCAGGTTTTTGTAAATACAGTTGTTTTTCACACACATTTTATGTATCAGAAAACAGACTTCCTATTAATGTTCACTTGGATTCAAGTCAGGTAAGACTGTTGGTCAATTTGTGTGCAATTTTTTCTCTTTTTTAGGCTTTCCAATGTTACATTTGTTGAGAACACTATTGTATTCTCAAATTAAAGTGAACTTGTTGGATCATCAAAACATTGAAATAAATTTTCCCAGTTGATTACCACTGATTGGTTTCCAATATATTAATCCTACTAATAATTACATGATAATATACACAATACTATCATTGTATAGGACTTTGTAGTAATTGAACTTTGAAAATTTCAAGAGTTTTTATTATTACCATTTTTTTTTGGTAGAAACCTTTTGTTTTACATAATAGATAGAAAATACTTTTTGAGATTACTGAACTTTGTTGTAAGCTACATGTTGTAGTAGCTTTCATTGAAAGCCTTCCCAAAATAACAATAAAACTTAATTGGAACTAAAATAGTTCATTAAGTTGCATTAATAGTTAAAATTCATAACGAATCTATAGTTGAGCAGTGTTTTCCTCTTTCTGGAAAGTATAGCCAGTCATCAGTTGCCAGAAGTCATGTGTAATGTAATATATTTAATGATAGTTTGGATCTTAATGTTTGGTTATAAATAATACACCATTAATGAAACTTGGGATTGCTGTGATCTGCTTCATACATGCATCAAAGAAGTGGAATAGGTGGGTGATGTGTATAGACAAAAGGCATTAGAGGAAATACTGGTTATTAAATTGTACACATATATTAACAAACAAATATTTTATTAAGAAATTATAAATTGTTGGAAAATTTAATTAGTTACTTGACTTTAATGGTTTATTAATGTAGTTATGATATTTTAAGCTGCTGTAGATCAATAAAACAGAAATTAAAAAATTGTTATAACTTAAGCCTTAAATGTTATAAGATGTTGTAGAGTATACTGTGGTGTTAGTTGTTATCATCATAGTTTAGTATAGATTGTATAGTTATGTTAATTTCTTCTGTAAGTCATGTTCCAATGCAATAAACAAGACTATTTGTAGAAGTCTTATGTTGGAGGTTTAGTTAGGCTTATAGCAGGAATGTAGCAGCTTTTCTTGGGATTGTGAATAATACAGGTGTTAGGTTCCCAAAGTGAATGTGCATTTCAGAGCTGAATTTTGCAACATTTAATTTTTGTATTAAAAGAAAGTGAAATAAATAAAACAAAGAAATATTGTTTTATAAAATATTGACTAAGTTACTTTTGTATTTAATTTAGCATTTGTTTAAACATTAACAGTGCAGATGTTTTGTTATTATTGCAAAGTATTATTTGTCAGTTACATAGGTTTAACTATCAGCATTTATGTAATAAAAGTTTAATGATTTTGAGTATAAAGACAAGATTTAACTGACAGTTTAAAAAAGTATGTACTAATTGTTAAACAGTCATACTTTTAGTGTGTTACTACAGTTATGTTCAGACATGCCAAGACCATGACATTTGTGGGTAACTTGGAAGTTTTGTAACATACTTTATTTTAGTTAGAGGTGCCATACTTTGGATAATGCTTATCAAATGCTGAATACAATCTAAAGAAGAAACATATAAAATAAATGATTACTTTAGGTAAAGATATGATGCCTTCATTTGGCTTTCTGAAAATTGAAGGCATGTATAAACTCTAGAAAAACTGTATGAATGGCCTAAATAATTTATACCACATTATTATGGAGTGTGTTTGCAGCAGACCATAAAACAATGTATTTTTTAATCTCACAATTCCTGTTCTGAGAGTAGTATAAAGTTTTCTAAAGTCTTAGTCATTTTACTAAGGTCAGAGTTTACTTTGAATGCATTCAATACTTTTATTGTACATTTAGTAAAAACAGTCTGTATATGTATGTATTTGATTTCTTATGTAGTATAAATAGTAAAGAATGTATATTTGTGTAAATGAATATTTTCATTTCTTGTTATAGACAGACAACTATTAATGTTTATGGTTTGTGTGTTTATTGCTTTTATGTTTTTTACAATTAAGTACCATTCATGTGTTTGTTATATGTACATAGAAGAAATCAGAGCTGAAGTGTGCTGTGTTGCCAGTGCTTAACATTGTAAGGAGAGATTTCAGGCTTCGAACAGAAGTTACTTTTTTCCTACAGAAGACTAATATACCATTTGATCTTCTTATCTTCAAGGATGAAATTGATTTAGAAGTAAGCAGTCAAATTTTTATCATACCTGTTAAACTAATAATGTTTAGTATTTTTTCTTTTTTTGTTATGGTTTGAAGCTTTAAATGACATTGGATGGAGAAATTTTAACACCTGCCACACAAATCAGCTCAGTATCATATACTGCTGAGCCTAGGATAATCAACAGGCAGAGTCATTTCGAAAATTGATGATTTAGAGTTATTTTGATAGATCTTGATGAATGAAACTTGGCACGACTTCTAAAACAAAACTAAATGTTAATGAAAATATGACATGATGAAATCTATATGGATTATACTATGGTGTTACCATACTGGCCATTATACCATCCTTCTTATATTTACTCTTCATTGTAAGAATAATTTACAAAAATAAATTAGTTGCATCAATGCTGAATATTCTTGAAATTCCTATATAAAGATAAGATTACTGCATGAGCAAAAGACATCAAAACACAATGCATATAATGTACATTCTACCACTATATGAAACCTAGTTGTATTTGGAGATTCATCAATTGATTACTGCATTGACAGCAAGACATAAAAAAAACAGGCACAATAGTTTCAATATTTTGTGAAACTAATGGCACAGTAAAGCCCAAAGATGCAGTGTTGAAGTTGAAGCAAATGCTTGATGCATTACAAGATGATTTCTCTAGTGATTCTCAAATTACAAATACCATTTCTGTTTTATTTTTGTTCTTCTAAGTTTTATGCGAGTTAAAGACATTTCAAAATACCATACATTTTATGTATATTTGTTTGTTTCTGTGTGCAGTAGTTCTTCAAAGAAAATTTATTAAAATGCTATAAAGTTGTTTCAGCTGAATATCTTGTGACTATATTCACAAGGCATGTTATTACATTTACAATGTTGTCTAACTGATTGAGTCTTGATTATAATACCAAAGCTGCCAAAAAATGGTAATGAGTGTTATACTGTAACATACCACTATACAACTGTTAGTAATGATTTTAATTGCAAAAGTCTTACTTGTAACTGGCATCAAATAATGTGTACAACTTTACTTTTATGGACCTGTATCGGGCTAGTGAAGAACAGTGTGATAATTACTGTTATCATCCTTATTTTTATATGAGATGGTATCTGTTATTCAAGAATAGTTTAGCTGGTCATATTATGCAAATTCTGAAAAGTTAGTATTAATCATTTACTTTTTTTTTCAGGTGTATAAATGCTCTTTTGGATATTTTATGTGGAAATTCAGCATGCATTTTGTTATTGTCTTCTGTCATTTTCTATAGAAACTTAGAAAAGAAAAAAGATTGTGCTTAACACTTGTGGACCACAATGTCTTGAGTGCAGACCAGCAGTGCTTAGAAGAAGCTGTTGTAAGGGTCATAGATCATCACAAGCTTGAATGCAGAGACAGAAGAATGAGGTATATATATACATATATATGTATCTTGATGCTTCCCCCCCTTTTTTTTTAAATTTAAGCTCTCTTATGCTTTTGTTTTCATAAGAGTCCAAACAAATTTCTTAGTTTAAAAGTTTTGCTGCCCTAGAAATTGTTTAACAGTAGGAAATGTTTTATTTGTGGAGTATCCAAAGTATGATTTTTTAATTAACAAAAAGTTGACTTACAATTATAAATCAAACTAAGTCAAAGCTTGAATATGCTTCACATTACTTTGATATGCATTTTTTTTTTAAAGTTAATATTTCATTATAAATATCTAAATGTGTATATCCAGACATAAAAGGACAATAATACACTACACTCGTTTTGTCCTTTTAAACAGCTGAACTTTCCATAAACTTGTTTTTTCAAATTATTATTAAAAATATCTGGTGTGGCATTATAGATTTATGTAGATTTTTAATGCATTGAGTAAATATCTAGATCCAGTAATAAAAAGTTGTATTTTTTTTTTTGCTCATGGATTATAATTTATAGCTCATATATGCTGTACAAAATTGTATTTTTTTTCACTATCAGGTGTGATATGACAGTTGAAATGGTTGGATCATGCTGTACACTTGTGGCTGAAAAGATGTTTACTACGTGTCCAAGTGTAATTGACCAACAAATTGCTATGCTCCTCTATGGTAAGAAAAAGCTGATCAGATATATCACACAGAGAATTGTAGAATGATGCCTAGATTATGCAAAGTCTTGGAGCAGAACAGCTGTTTATATCCATGTATATTATTTTAATATATTAGTTAAATTTAATGATTTACTAATTGGATGAAACTATGTTCCAGACAACAATACAACAGTTTTGGCCTTGTGTTGTATAAATGTTGTTAAAATGTGTTCTTTATTACAGAAAATCAGAGAATTATAAAGATAAACAGATATGTTTTACATTATAATTATGATGCATTTGACTTTAATAGAATACTTCTTACAAGTAAGCCTAGTTTGTACGTGTATCAATTGTGTTAATTTTCTGTATTGTGTTATTCTTATGAAGACTTAAGTCTGGTTGTTGGTACTTGCATTAAAAGTGTTATTACTGTACTTCTTTATGGAATTTAAGATAGTTGCTTTTAAAGGAATTTGATGCAATTGGCATTTAGCCCAATGAAAGAAAAAGAAGATAATTAATATTTGTAATCTGTAAATGTTCTATAAATATACTTTTGAATTAGTATTTTGGTCCATTGTTTCTACTTTTACTGAGTGTCTCCTCTGGCAGATTCTAGATACAAAAAATAGTGGAATATTTTTAGTTAATTATATATATTCCCTTTTGTTTCTTTCAGGTCTTTTCAACTCATTTCTGCTTGTGTTCTGCTACCATTAAAGAGTTATAGAAACCCATAAAACTTACATTTTCTAATCGAGTGATCTTACTCAGTATTTTCTGACTATTGAAATGTATCTTATTTTAGTTTGAAGTTTCTCTTCACATATCAGTTTCTAAGAGATCATTAGGCATAGTTATAAAGTGATCATCTGATTTTTTTGCTGGTAAATAGGTACAATTCTCCTAGACACTGTATGCCTGTTAAAAGAAGCCAAAAGGGCAACGGAAAAGGATATTAATATTGTAATAAAACTTGAAACCAAGTTGGAAAAAGTTACAAGAATAGAGGTTTTTGAAGCATTGCAGAAGGCTAAATTTGACCTCTCAGGTAAATTGTTTTTGGATGTTTGTATAGATTTAAGATAAATATAAATCAATTGTTTGCTTTTTTCTACAAAAGATAAAAGTTCAAAATCATAGCAGAGTTTGTGATGTTTTTTTATAAGCATTTTTACTCCTTTGTTTTGATGTACATTCATCAGATATCAGATTATGAAAGCACAAAACAAAAAGATGCATCATGATTAATCAGTTGAGATGGCAAACCTACATAAAGTAGTATATTATTGTATTACTTTGATGGTTCATATGAACTTGTTGCAAGTTATCTTCAGATATACTGTGTAATGATTAAGATATACATGCATTGAAAGTAATTAATTTGCCCAAAAGGTGATCTAGGAAGAAAAAACTTCTAAGATGATAACTCACCTATTCACACAGAAATGCTGTTTTTCTCGTGCATCTGTCTATGAGATTTGCATGCCTTGAGGTAACTCCTATTGAAATCCATGTGTTTAATATGAACTGCTCTGGTGCACGATGCCATCATGATGTGACGAAATCCCCCCACCAATAGGAGATTGACACAAGCTACATGCTCAGTAACTCACCCTATGTAATAACTTCAATTTTCTCCTCAGCATTGCATTGAACAGATGTGTTCAAATTTCTCGACTGAATTCAATTTGATAAGATTTGCACTTGTTAACTGGTTATGATCCTTTTTACTGTACACCTTCCTCTTCTTATGTATATGGTCTTTGTTGGGGTCTCATTCTTCACTTGAACATCTTTGTAGTGTTCATTTCTCTCTGGAGTCTTGGATTGATGTTGTATGACTTCAGTCCTTGTTATCTTCTCAGGTGTTTCCTCTTTCATGACCTTGCCCTTTCCTCCTGCTCCTCATCTAGATCAGTCTACCCTTAACCTTCCCATTCCTGATTCCTAGTCCTTTTCTCATTCTCCCTCTACCAAACTGTTAGATATACACTACTGTTTCCTTTTAAATGTAATGCGTTATGATTTAGATATTTTATATAGCATGAGTGTCATACTTAGTTATTTTTAGAAATGATATTTATAGTAAGTTTGTTTATGTAGCTGTTTATGAATCATACATTGTGTATTTCAATTGTTATGAATTAGTGATTGTTTACAATAATGAGATTATTGCATCATGTTGCTAGAACTTTTTGAGTTTCTCATTGGATTAATTGAGTATTATTACATCAGAATATCTAATATTGTGTGTAATGTTCTAGACTTCTGTCATGATATAGATATACATTGAGAAATCATTACTGAGTTTGCACGATCATGTGTTTAGCAATAAAAAGTGTATAGACGCATTTTTAAAGTGAAATTATCACAGACTGTACTGTAATAACAGAGCAGAGAAGAACTGAACAAGCCTGTGTGGACCTTGATAAAAAGAAAAAGAAGCAATTTTTCAAAGCTCTGGATACAACAGTGGTAACCAACAGTGTAACAAACATTTGTATGTACATTTAAATTGTTTTTAATTTGTGGAGTAGTGACACATGATGATTTACATGAGAGACATGTTGGAATCATTTGATTCCAATAGGGGGGAAGCAGAAAGATTGTGGCATGCGTAAAGACAAAATTTACGTATAGAGGGCAGCAATGGACAAGAATAGCTAATCTTGTGAATGGAGGGAAGTACCTATTGGAAATACATTTTTAGTATAGGAAAATTATAACTTTCATCTGGTTTGCAGTTAGCCATGGTTGATGTGTTAGACACCTTCCTAAACTCCTCTCTTGACCCATCCTCCATATGTTTCTACATTCCATCTATCAGATACAAGTCTTCCAATCCCTTGCTTTTCCCTTTGACATAGCACTGGACTCTTTTGTATTCATTCGTTTTGTGAGGGCCTTCATTTGCCATATTAGAGGCCCAAGGCTGGCATTCCTTTTCTTGGATGATTGAATTTTGTTGGTTCATTTTAGTATGATTTAGGCTCATATTCTCTTCTCACTCCTCCATTCTTTTACAGGAGGTTACTCAGTTGGGGTGGTTTGTCATGAACTTCTGGGCATTTTATTCATTTCCTGTCTTGGCTGAGTTCAGCCTTCTCCTCTTTGTCTATGAGCTATGGTGTATCCAGTCACCAGGATTTTTACTTCTCATTCTCTATCCTGTACTAGAGGTTCTTTTGCTTCTGGGGACTCTGGCATCCTTGGAATTTCTCATTTCTTTGGGGCGTGCACACATGTGCCTCCTCCATTGGATTTTGCAGGTCCAAGGTTTTTTTCCTGGGTTCAGTTGCCCTTGTTTGTGGACCTCCTCTCTCCTTTTTTCAAGGAATTGTCATGGTGACTGAATTGTGCCTATATTACTTCTAGAATTCCCTTACCTAATTCCACACCAGTTTTGTCTCTTCACCGATTCTTTCCTCTCTGATTGAAGTCCATGTCTGGGCAAGAACGTGACTTCTGGCATTTGGATGCAGGATGAGCATTCACTCCATATAATTGTGCTTGAAGCTGGAAATAATCATGCACCAGCACAGTATACATTAAACACATGAATTTAGATGGTTAGTGGCATGGAAATCTCATAGGCAGATATATGAGGAAGATAGCATTTCTACCAGGAATAGATTTTCAGATTAAGAAAATGTTACCTTTCAACTGTAGTGTCCTTTAATTTATAAGCTGAATTCTTAAACATACTGAATGCTAGATAAGTGATTTTCATTATTGAACCCAAAATGCACAGGCTTGATCCATTGGACTAACCCCATATTTTATTTACATGAAATGTGGCAAGCTTTTAGTAAGATATACAAGTCAGTTGTACATAAAAAAAAAATCAGACGAGTTACAAAGATACTTGAACTCAAGACATGTCTGTGAATTGATGAAATGAAGGTGATGTTTATGTGAAGAATAAAATATATTTGTCCATTGTACAGTTTGTATATTGTATTTGTATAACCTCTAGAACCTTTGAAATGTATATCTACAGTTTTTTCAGTATCCCTATATATTGTATCTGGTATTTACTCTGCTATTGTGAACTGTCACTAAATCAGCAGTGTAGGGAGAATTGAAATAGTTGATAATCATGTGGAATGGCACCCTGTAAAAGGTCTAGGCTTGCATACGTTAACTTCAAGGTAGAGATGGTTTTATTATCCTTGCATATTATGCAAATATTTTTAGCAGTATTGCATTTGACTTTGTAGGATTTAGCTATATATATCTAACCTAAGACATGAACATTAGGGACTGCATTCAAACCAGGGCTAGTGTGCCTAGACTGTGACTGAGGATGTTTGATTTGTGTCCCATTGTCACAAAGACATGCTTTGCACAGGTGTTGAGCATAGCTTTAACATACTTTATGCAAAAAGTCTGAAATAATTATGAACTGCAATAAGATGTATATAAACCAGTTTCTTACTAAATCTGTGTAACAGAATTTTACTGTTTTACAGTGGTTTGTTGCTAGTGGATTGAAAGAGAAGACACAGATTTTGAAATCTTATTAACATAAACATTTTATTTAATGCACAAAGAATGGTTGATCATCTAGGTGGAAAAGCTTGTAGCCTTGTGAATTAGTGGTGGATAAATTATTAAAACGTAAACTAAACTTCACCAGTAAGTCTTGGCTCCTTCAAGATAGAAAAAAAGTCTGATATTTTCAAAGATCAGAATCAATCTCTCAGAAAGCTGGCACCAAAATGCAGAAGTATTTCTGTTCCATGTTGCAGTATTAAGGTAGCCCTCAAACACAAGATCAAAAAGGACACAATGCAACTATTCCACAAAATAGTAGCTAAGTTCCTGAATTTTTGAACATGATTTCAATCAGGTTTAATGCTCCATAATTAGAAGAAATATAAGAATTTTGGAGATAATAAGTAGATACTGTGGGCTAGTAAGATTTTTAATATTACAAATTACCATGTATGTTTGTTTCCACTGGTGCTGAAAACCTGATTGGAAAGCTATATTGTCAGTGTAAAGATATCTTCACAGATTCAAAAATGTAATTTGGTTGTTTTTAAAACTTGTATTTATTCTAATTATTTTCATCTGTTTGTTTAAAAGAAGATGAACTTTTTTTCTGTCTGATTTAGGTTTAACTTTTGAAGAAATGCTTAGGAAAGATCTGAAAGTTGTTGAAGGAAATAAGTTCAGAATTGCAATACCTTCAATACCTGGATTTTTGGAGGTATTATTTCATGCTCCACTTTTTTTTTGGCTAATAATAATAAATTTCAATTAATCAGCTTGACATAATTCTGTCAAGTACACTGGAGTGCATGAATTTTTTTATGCATACGAGACCTATTTCACTTGTTCTTAATTGACCCATTCAAATGGCTTGACATTTGAGATATGTAATATGTTTTATTACAGCTACATTAACGTTAGTTACAAATTCAGGTTTTCTGTGTAGTAGTATGTTGTGCGTGTAAAAAAAAAATACTGGACAGATTATTATCCTATAACATTAATATGCTTAAAAGCAAAACAACGTAAAAAGCACAGTGCTATGGCAAGTTAATGTGCTATCCCCATCAGGTAGAAAATAAATAGCATAAAAAGAAATAATTCAATGAATATCTCAAAGTTGTCAGGTATGTTTTTCTTTGTTATTACAATTGTAACTTAATTGGCACAATAGGCATTGATGTGTCTTAACATTGCCAGTCATCATTATTTGATTCATCAGTGTTATGTAATAACCATCACCACTCCCACTCAAAGTCAATGGCTTTTCAGTTCTCCTTACCATGAGCCTGGGTCTCCCAGCACCATGCGAAATTCAACCCTTAGGTACAGTAGATTGTTTTATTAAACTAGAACAAATGTTATTTCCTGTCTCTTAAATATCCTTCTGATAGATCTTAACTTCAAACCAAATATTTATTTGATGTGAACAGTTACTACCATATTCATGAGTTGAAAGTCTAATTTTGTATTGAAGGGTTTTAGAGAAACAACTGATTCAACTTGTCTCAAGGTGTGATTTTTATAAGTTTAGATTGAGAATGAAACATTAACCAAAAGTAGAACTCTTGATAGTCGGAACATGTGAACCTGTATTTGACAAAAGCACATTTGATTGTAGGAATCTTGTATTTCAGACTGTAAAATGTGACTTGTACTAATTTGAGTGTTAAAAAATATGAAACGTGTTTGAGGATAGAGATTCTAAAGTTGGATTTGATTTTTCTTCAAGCATGATGAGCAATATTCTGATGAACTAATATTTAAGGACTCATGAAAACATTGATCCTCTAGCATTTTATTTTTCAATATTTATTGAATGAATTAGTTATAGTTGTTATATTTCAAAGTCTGTGCTCATTATAAAATGTGGCAACTTGCTTTCAGTAGTTTTTCAAGGTGAGGCCTTTGTATCCATTGAGGTCAAGTAGTACAAAACTTACAAGTGTATTGGATGAAAAAAAAATGGGTTTAAACTACTGAAGGCATCTGTTCACATATTATTTGGTGTTTCTCTATCCCAATATATTTAATGAAGTCTCTCATGGTGAGTCAGCAGTAAGTTTATGGACTTACAATGCTAAAATCTGGAGTTTGATTCCTCAAGATGGTCAGAACACATATGGCCAATTGTGAAGCTTTGTGCTAAAGCAACAACAACTTAATGATGTAACATTACAGCTTAAGACTTCTCTCTTGAAGATTTTTTTATTTAATAATTTTACTAGACATTCAATTAGAAAAACAATTAAATTTTTAACATAAGGAGAAATATTTCTTCTCAAGACATTCTGTTAATGATGGCACCATTTTAGTTTTTATGACAGTTATTTGTGCTAGTTTCTCCTTGTGATTTTGAGTCTAAATTTTTCATTTTGCGTTGAAGGTTGATGTGAATTTGTGAGTTCATCTGATATAAGAATGTCTGATTAAAAATCTTTGTTCACTTTAAAATATATGGATTTAAAGTTTGACAGATGTAACACGTTTCATAAACAGACAATTAACACAAAAATATCATCGTTGAAATTGGTTAAAAGGTATCACAACATTTTGAAACTTATCCTTTGAAACAACAGGGTATGTTTTTCTTGAAATTTCTTGTTGTTTAAAAGAGTACTTGAAATTCCATTTTTTTAAATAAATTATATTTTCAGGATTTGCATTAGTATAACTTTACAAATTTTGCTTTTTCAATGAGAAATCACATCAGAACAGGAATGCTTAACATTTCATAATTTTTAATTTTTGTTCTTTTTTTCAGGATCTAAAAGCAGAACCAAAATTAAGCATTGCTATGGAAGAATTTATAACACAAAATAACTACCATGGCTTAGTAATTATGACCATTCATCATAACAGTGAAACACGAAAAGTTCAAAGACAAATTGCTGTATATTCACCAGATCCAGTGATTAAAGAACAGGTAAAAAAACTAGTTCAGCAGGGTACGTTTTGCTTGTTTTATGGTACATCTGCTAACTGCAACTATTATATTTAAATACTTGTAAACAAAGGTTCAGTTTTGGCCAGAATAAAATGTATTTCATGTTTTTTTTTTGTTTTTAAATTGAAAATATAATGTGATAAAATTATTGTAAGTTGACAACAAGGCTATGTGTAGGCTGACTTTTTAACTTTGGTTCTGTGAGCTCCTTAAGCTTTCAATTGATTTAAAACTGTTAAACATTTATGTGTGTGTGTGTGTGTATGCAGTACATAGGTATAAAGTTTCTAGGTGTTCAATCCTTTTATTTACAATTTGTTATATTGAAAACTACAATTAAATGGCTAAAGTTACTTCTGTGACTAGATTATGTAAGATATCTGGTAAGCAATATACCTGCTAAATTAGGTCTGTTTGACCTCTTGTTTCACATCCAGTTGATTTTTAGTGGTGTAGCCATATTGGATGATGTCATACATATCCTTTATTAATAATTACCCCCTAGGCAACATTAAATCACTATTATTAAAAATCATGTAAATTATGAATTACCCTCAGGCAACAGATCATGTTAGATGACTTCATCATATAGATTATTGATTATTCTCTGGCTCTAGAGCACGACCTGATGAAACTCACCATTGGTAGTTATATACTGCTAATGCTATATCAGACAGTGGAACACACCATACATTAGATTTTGAAGCATAGTCTTAATTTATAAATCAGAATTATGTGTTTCTCTGGCAACAGAACAATTCCAGACAAGTTGGATGACCTTATTATTGCAGTTATAACAAGTCCTGGCATATCATCGAGAAGTGTATCAAGAGAAATGACAGACAGTGGAATCATTGACTGAATAAGTGTATTAATGAAGCTAGTAAATATTTATATTTTCCTGGTTGTTTTTTTATTAGAAATTTATTTTGTTAGTTGAAATACAAAAGTTGTTGCCACTGCACTTAGATAAAACTTCCCGTGCTAAATGGCTGAGAACCCAATCATGGCATTTAGATTGAATCTTTCAGTAGTGTTCTCAGCATTTCTTAATGGGCTACATGTAATGTTGGTGGGATAAGTCAAGTACAATAAACTTTGTAGCAACAGTGAGAGTGAGAGTGTGTGTGTGTGTGGGAGGGGATACCTTTATTTTTATGTCAAATAACTTTTTGAACTAACCCACATTTCCTTTTAAATGTTAGTAGTAACTAGTTTGATTGCGAAAAGAGGGATGACAGTCTGTAAATGGAACATTGGGTTCAGGTAAAAAAGACAGTTATTTTCATGTGTACGATCATATCCTACACGGCAATAGTGACAATAATATGTACAGTCAAGAAAAGCAGGCAAGGAAGTAATGACATATTGTTGTCATGAAGACAGTGATAGAGAGGTTGGTCTTGAGAAGGACCACAGAAAATAATATACTCAAGAGTTCTTTAGGCAAAATTATGAAGAAAAAGTTTGTTTAAAGTACCATTTGGAATTTTGGGTATTCAGTCAAGCCACAGAGTCCAGAAAGAATGCTGGCTTGTTTGTGTAGCTGTTTTGTCTGGTATATTTGCTCCTTAAATTTATCTTTGTGTATTTGTTGCAAAGTATTACCATCCATTTCATGATTAAGTTTAGTATAGGCTACTACAATAGAGTGAGCCAGATAGAGTTTATTATTGTTGATGGTAATAACAGATTGTTTTTTTTTTCAAGATGGCTTCTAGATTTAAATGTTTAATGTAAGAGCAACCACTATTTAAAGGAACCTAAACATGTATGATAAACCCCTTAAAAATAAAAAGGAGTCTTTAGCCTGTAATACTTTTACAATCTCATTCATGAGATTGTTCTTATTAAAGTCCTGGACCAAATGAAATGAGGGGAGCACTTTGCATGGGCTATACAAACATATTAATTGGCACCTAAAGTCTTTGAAAAACATCAAAAATTTTAAGAAGATGAAGGAGAAAAGTCTTTGCATCCTCATTGTCTGTTTTTTGTTCAAAGTGAGCCAATAATACATGGATGGTTTCAACAGTTTGAAAATCTCAAGAATACTGCTAAAAGATTCTTAGTCATTTAGCAGGGGAAACCATAATTGACTAGAAGTTTAAAAGTTTTGTCTTTTGAATAATAAAGGCAATTGCTAACTCCAAACCACCAGGAAAATGTAAATATTTACTACCTTCTTGACACACTTTTTGTTGACATGCTCTAGGATGAACATCAAAGATGACCCATGAAGAGTTATCTGAATTAAACAAAAGATTTGATATCTGTTTATATATTTAACTGAGTGACTGGTCAGGACATGTTCTAACTGTACTAATGAGGTAATTCAACATATCTGGACTCATTCTGTTGCCAGAAGAATGGTAAGAAATCAACTCGTGATTCTAACAGATCGATTACAATTGCACATTCAAAACCTGGTCTGGACATGCTTTATAGCCAGTAAGAGTATAGAACTGTACAACTACTAATGATGAGTTGTGTCAAGGCAAGTTCTAGAGCCAGAGAGTATTAACAATTTGTATGACTATAAGCCCTATAAGAATGTAATTGATCACTCTCATCAACCTTGGAATTATGAAACTATGTAAACTATAACTGAATTTACTGTATGTATCTTCACAAAATTTGGCAATATTTTTAGTAAACATTAAAACTCTGTTGTACACACAAAAACAGATTATTTTAATGAAGTATTTCTAGTAAAGGTTTGTCTGTGAATTTCTGAGTACAAGGTGATTTTCACTATATGAATAAAAATACTACTTTTCATCTTACAGTTTTCATATTTCATTTACATAACCTTCTAAATGAATATCGAAAATTTGTTGTAGAGTTTTGTATTTTCTTTACTTTACTCTAATGCTAATTATAAAGAAATTGCAATGTACAGTAAAATTATAAGTTAAAAAATATGAAATAAAATGAATAATGTTTTTTAATTTTTTTGGCACGTGTGTAGTGTTCAATGTTAAAACTCACAATTTTTAAAAAACGATTATTTTATACACAATTTTATAAAAATGAGATTGTTTCCAGTCTCCAAATTACTAAAATACAATAACTTACTGTATGAGATAAAAGTGGTAAAAACACCGATGAAATTGGAAAAGAATCTCATATGCTCTACATGTTTCGACATATACTACTGCATCATCCTTAGGAATTTAATGTTTTGCAAAAATAACATTTATACAATTATCAAATCACCAATTTATACATTAAAGAATTTTATGCCATCTGCTGACAAAA